ATACATTTAGGAAAAAAACTTATATCATGAGGAAAAAAAGTTTAAAGGAAGAGACTAGCTATGTGACACTCGATAGATTTTAAGAAAGGAAAAGAATCTATTGCGGACATTCACCGGTTATCATTCACATGTATAGTGTAAAGGAATGAATAGAATAGTTAATTACATATAATTCCAGGGTTAGAATTTTCGAAGGTGAATATCTCGGTAACATTATTTACGAAATTAACAACGAACTGTTATTACAGAAATACATATAATCATATATACACATAGTAATTACTGGAATCTATATTGTATCAATGAAAATGGCTAATGCATCAAAATAAACGCAGTGGTAACATAACCACAAAAACACATTTTCCCGCAGTCTTATACACAAGCATGCAATACACGTACACACATACGCACACAGAAACACAAAGACATGCGCAACACTCACACGCGCAAACACACACACACAAAAATCAGACTTAATAACATTCGTTTTCCCCAGTCTTATTCGGTTAACGTCACTGACAAAACCTCATCAGAATGCGACGCTGAACTAGAAAACAAAATGGATTCACTGCGGTAGAATCAGAACACGAATGAAACCGCGCTGGCCAACGGAGCAGCAGTCCCAAGCGTGAAGGCCGCGGGTCAGTTGCAATCCTGCAAACTATGATGCTACTTTGCAAAACCGAAGATGAAGACGTTGTCAAGCACACACGCCTCGGGGAATGGTGGTGGTCAGATCGATTTGTTTTATGCGTATTTTATCGATAATACCTTGTCGGAGATTCCTGAAATGAAATGCAGTTCAAAAGTAAAAGTAAAAGTAAAAAAAAAAAAAAAAAAAAAAAAAAAAAAAAAAAAAACTCTGATCCTGCAAACATATATTTAACTATTTGTGAAATACTGGCGTCTCTAGAACTCTTAAAAATATACGAAAAATAACATTTACTTGTAACTATTCATAAGAAAGAGAATAAAATGCTGTATAAAAGTTAACTAACACAATTTGTAGAGCAATTTGTATCCCTAATTGTTATAAATGCGGCTACCTTCACTAACTTAAAGTTACATTTGTTTATGAGTCTTACAGTGAATAAGATATGGCTTACATGAAGTGCAGTGCAAATAACAATATTCTTAATGGATGTGTTTCTTAGCTTACATGTAGCTAGATGTTTGTGTATCCGTAAATGTGTCCGTATATATAAATGTATGTATATATGTATGTATGTGTGTGTGTGCGTGTGTGCGCGCGTGTGCGTGTATGTGTGTGTGTGCGTTTGATTGTGTGTGTGTTTACCATACGGAACCAAATTTGCAAATACAACTTTGTGTTTCAGCAATTCTGTGTACAGGAACTGTCGCGGTCGCCCAAAGGAGCAGGAAAATCTACACAGTGTCCTCGGCCTGTCAAGTAATTCGCTTAGATGAGCGGCAATACGGATGTGCCAACCGATGCTTATTCTACAATCCCAGCTTCGTCGTATCAACTATGCAACATAGGCAGCACCAGAAGTGTTGTTCATAAAGATATAACAAAGTTGCACTAAAAATAACCTTAATGCCAGTCGCTTACTTTGCTTTATGATGTAACACACATATATTTGTATTGTGTCAACTTGTCGTAAATCATATTTCCGTGTGGCGTGTGCGTGTGTGTGTGTGTGTGTTGTGTGTGTGCGTACATGTATGTTATGTAAGCGAGTGTATATATGTACGTGTAGCAAATTAAGTTGCCAAGGCCTACTGTAAAATCTTCATCCATCTAGCAAAACAACAAGAAAAAATATTTGTATCAGAATGTATTATGATTCAAATTAAAGTGTGCAAAGTAGTATGATACACTCTGTGCCTCGTAAGAAAAGCTTTGGTGGTCGTAGCTGCGTTGCTCAATCCATAAAAGGGACAGGCCAAGAAATCCCTGGCTGGAATAGACCGAGGCTACAAGAGCTCCGACTCTTTCCCACAAACAAAGAAATGCATGCTACGAAAAAATCGCTCTTTACATTATACAGTACACACTGTCTAACTAACAAGGAGAATCGAATCGACTTTCCTTTACAACACATATCACTCAGACGCAAAAATCGAAACCAAAGGACACAGAAACATACAAAGAAAACACCTTAAAAATATATGGCAGTTTAGATTACGTTCTCTAACAATTCACTCGTAAATCACGTGTTTCCTCTTGCACTTCAGTTTACTATCTCGCTTCTGAGGCGGTCAGGGATTCAACGGCGCTTCACTACGATCGCAAAGTATAAGATATCGCACGGTATAAGAAGATCGTTGTCCTGATGCCTTTGGATGGAGGTTTTCGATCCCGTGAGGACGATTCTAATGCCTTCTTTGATATAAGCAACTCGTATGATACTTTTCAGAGCGTCTTTCTTCACTTGAATCTCTCAGATTGTATGTCATTATGTTTCTATTATTCACTAAGTAGATATCAATGCGTAACAGATCCACAGACGGTCCGGTAAAAATTTCCAACTGCTGCACTACGTTTACAACCATTGTGACGTGGGTATGGTGGGCTTGGTTGTTTCCTGGGTCAACACTGGGGGTTTATTTACAGTTTCACGTGAAGAAACGAAGCCTTTGTAACTCAGTATCTACTTTCAAACAGAAGCGTTTATCATTCTGGCTCTCTCTCTCTCTCTCTCTCTCTCTCTCTCTCTCTCTCTCTCTCTCTCTCTCTCTCCTCTCTCTCTCTCTCTCTCTCTCTCTCTCTCTCTCTCTCTCTCTCTCTCTCTCTCTCTCTCTCCTTTCATGTGTTTCACTGGCTCGATATTCTTCGCCATTACATGTGTCACGAGTTGGATCAAAGATTGTGAGCGAGCGCCAGCGCCAACACTGTGGTCAAAACGAGAGTCGTGATTTGGGAGGCTACTGAGTAACCAGCGCTCACGACTAATTCTGAAACAGAGAGAAATTACGTTATTTTCCTAAACTGGGTCATATGGATCAGGTTTTTTCATTCATATTTCAGTATGATTCTAACGGTATATTCACGTAGTCTTTTATCTTACACAGTTGGATCTCACGATACTCACGGCAAGAAGGTAGGTCCTCGACGCTGAAGGCCTCCTCGAGAGAAGGCTGGTCCTCGTTCACCAGGGGCCTCCATGTCTGCTCGTAGGCCAGGCAGGAGAGCTCCTGCACCCAAGGCCTCCGCGTCTCCCCGTTTCGGAACACAGCCTCGTGGCCCCGAGGACAACTGGGGAAAAGATGACACATGATATTAGATATGGAAGATTTATTAATACTCGTAGAATGATAATACATTAGATATGGAAGATTTTTTAGTAGCATGATGTGATATTAGATATCGAAGATTCATTAGTAGCATGATATGATATTAGATATGGAAAGCTGAAACTTACAAGTTTAAAAAAATAGATTTAGTATATCGCTTCTGTGAAGTAAAGGTGATCAAAATACAAAAACTTAATAATAGGTCATTGCGCCGGATCATGTTTCATTTTTAGATAGAAAAGGCTTGTGTGAATCAAGAGATAATCTAGGCTAAGTTTGCTTGACCTATTCGAGAAGTGTATATTGCCTGAGAGGAGAGGGAAAGAGAAAGAGAAGAGAGAAAAAGAGACAGAGAGAGAGAGAAAAGAGAAGAGAGAGAGAGAGAGAGAGAGAGAGAGAGAGAGAGAGAGAGAGAGAGAGAGAGAGAGAGAGAGAGAGGGAGAGGGAGAGGGAGAGGGAGAGGGAGAGGGAGAGGGAGAGGGAGAGGGAGAGGGAGGGGGAGAGGGAGAGGGAGAGAGAGGGAGAGGGGAGAGAGAGAGGGTGAGAGAGAGAGAGAGAGAGAGAGAGAGAGAGAGAGAGAGAGAGAGGAGAGAGAGAGAGAGAGAGAGAGAGAGAGAGAGAGAGAGAGAGAGAGAGAGGGAGAGAGGGAGAGAGGGAGAGGGAGGGAGAGAGAGAGAGAGAGAGAGAGAGAGAGAGAGAGAGAGAGAGAGAGAGAGAGAGAGAGAGAGAGAGAGAGAGAGAGAGAGAGAGAGAGAGAAGAGAGAGAGAGAAGAGAAGAGAGAGAGAGAGAGAGAGAGAGAGAGAGAGAGAGAGAGAAGAGAGAGAGAGAGAGAGAGAGAGAGAGAGAGAGAGAGAGAGAGAAGAGAGACAAAAAAAAAAGAAAAAAACAAAAAATGAAAGAAACAGAAAAAGAAAGAGAAAGAGAGATTAAGAAAAAGAGAAAGAAAGAAAAAAAAGCCAGACACAGAAAGACAGACAGACAAACAAACAGAAGTTCACCCCCATATACCTGAGCCTGGCAATGGCTGGCTGGTCCCGCGTACTCGACAGGTAGTCTCCCCTGCAGGTTCTGGTCGCGTCCATTATCCTGACCAGGAGCTCAGCGTCCTCGAACTCCAGCCTAGGACACCCGGCTGAGTCGACTGAGGCAAGGAAAAGTTACGTGTGAGTGGAGTCGCTGGTTGAATGGACGGGTTGAGATGCGTGATTTCAAGCCTATCACGTAAATACCACATACATATATAAATAAATAAATAAATACATGAATGAATGAATAGATAAATAAGATAAAAATAAACAAATAAATAAATAGATACAAATATAAGTAAATGAATACATAGATGAACAAAAGGAAAATAATAAACAAATAAATTAATAGATAAATACACATGTGAATTTGTGGGGATCACGTGCCCAAAACTTATGATACTCAATAAAGAGTCGTAAAATAATGTTTTTAGGCAATTACTTCCTTTTCCGGCAATAGTAAGACTCGTGGTCATTACGGAAACAATAATGATGAGAATGATATTGATGGTCGTGATGGTGATGATAATGACGTTGCTGCTGATGCTGGTAGCAATATCAATAACAATACTGACAATATCAATGACACTACTGCTAATACTACTACATGAACTGCATATGATAATGATAAAAGCAATGATAATAACAATATTGAAAAGAGTAATTAATAAAAAATGATGAGGATATGATGATAAAAAACCCCGCTATTATTGCTTTTGTTATTGTTATTATTAAAATCGTCATTATCATCGTCATCATCATTATCATCATCGTTAAGATTGCTAATATAATTACTATTACAATTAGTATCATTGCGATGATTAGCATGATAACAAGGATGACGAGGGAGAGAAAAATGAAACAAAACTAAACAAAACTACATAAGATAAAAAGCTAAATTAAACAAAACTAAATAAACAAGGAAAAAATAAGAACTATCAAACCAACAAAAGGAAAAAATTGCGATAACAAAACCAATACTATAACACTGAATAAACACCGGTACTAACCATAGTGAAGATGATGCTTATGATAACACAACACAAAACAACAAAGAAATATCCA